AGTATTTTTGGTGATCGAATGTGCGTTCTGAATTTCCTGGAAATATTTTTTTCTCTCACGTGAGATATTGAGGTTCGACGCCATTTTTTTAGACATAAGGGATGGACATTGATGACTACTGGAATCGAGAGATTAGCCGATATTCTGATCATCTGACAATCTGGTTAGACAGATACATCTGTCGCCCGGGGGAATACACGGCATTAAAAAATAGATTTCAAAACGTCATTCAACCGCTGAACACATTAAATTCCGAAGAAGCAGAAGTTGACGAATGGACTACAACATTCCTAGATCCAGAAATGTTGAATAAACTAAAGGATACTGTTTATTGTTTGAAACCATTTTTCGAAATCCACACTTGTCTCGAGTTTATTTATGAAAATAAGGATAAAAAAGTATTTTTCATTTCATCGGGTTCAATGGCTAAATTCATTGTGCCACAGATTGCCGAATTACCACAGATTCATGGGATCTACATTCTGCGCGATGACATTTCGTGTTATGCATCCGACTGGGCACAAGAGTACTCCGATTATATAGATTCAATGTTTGATCATGAAGATGATTTACTCATGCGTGTAACAATAGATATTGCTAAATATTTGGAGAAAAAAGGCGATGATTACATGAGACTGTCAGACAATGCAAAAGCGCACAATTGTTATACGTGGGCAATTAAATTAATATTGCGCACGCGAGATATGGGTAATATAAATTATCGTCAAATGCATGAGCTGCTAATGAAAAAACTTGATGAAGCGGAAAGAAATGATGAAATAATGCCAATGCCAGATGACTGAGCAGTTGTGGTCTTTTGTGTATTTTTCTAATTTTTTTGTTATGCTATTAAAGAAAGCAGGTGATACAAAATCGATGCTAATCAATGATCAGACTGATAGCGCAGAAGGCTCTAGTTTTCAGAGAAAATGCTACTTTTTATCCTCAGTAGTTATATCACAAGTTGTTAAACTTTTGGTGTAGCTAGTGAGAATAGAAGAATCCAACTTTTTAGTATTGTTCCATATTTTTCGAATTTCTCAAAAAAATGAACGAACTCTCGATCTCGTTCACGGAACCGATCAGATTTGGTAACCAACACTGTTATATTCTGTCAGCTTTGGAAGTAGAATCAGTAGATCTCTATCCTTCCTTTGCCGAAAGAAATATTCAAATAAACTGACCATATTATGCAGTATTCGACTGAGCTCGTTGAGTAGATTGCAATCACGTTAAGTGTTTTGAAAAAGAATATAAGGATCAAAACAAGAGAGTTAGGACAATACATCCATGCCAAAACGTATAGTCAGTCTTCTTCTTTTGATAAAAAGAAAACAAATGTCCCAAATAACGATCTGAAAAAGTTAATTTCTATTCTTCCAGAAAATGAAATTCAAAAATAAATCATGGAAACAAAAATAACACTTGCACACTTTAACACGG